TGTCATTGTCCTGTTGGGCTGTGTATGTGATAAAGGGGAGCCATACCGGGGTGAAGGTCTCTTCTTCTGTTTGTCCCTGTGTCAGTTTCAGTTTATTAGTTAATTTTTCTAGTAGGGCTGTTTCCCATACTATTTGGTACCATTGGTCCATGCTTACTCCTGACAGGTCTCTCCAGTGTCTGGTTATGGTGTTTGGGACCTTAGTTCTTGAACTTAATCTGTTCTGGGAGTCTGTTCGACTCCCAAAACCGTTCAGAAACCAAGGCATGGCTTCCAAGTGGCTGTAGGAGCTTCCTGCACTCAATCAGAAGCCGCGTCGGATGTTTGACTTCCAAAAAACATTCGCAAACCGGAACACTTACTTCCGGGTTTGCGGCGTTCGGGAGTAGATTTGTTCGGGAACCAAAGTACCACTCTTATCTATCTATCTATCATCTATCTATCTATCTTCTATCTATCATCTACCTATCATTTATCTATCAATCATCTATCTAATCTTAAGCGATAGAGAAATGATATAAATAAATAAAAACCTTCACATCGGGTTTCATGTCAGGGAAAAGCTATTTGTGTTTCAGCTCCTTTTTTAGCCCATGTTTAAGTTGCACCATTCCTCAGGTGTGAAATTATTTCTGCTTTCTTTGCATTCTGCTTTGGATTCTCTCTCTCCTCCCCGACCCCCTTTGTGGTTTACTATTTTGGATGGATGGGGATCTTTCAATGAAAAGGGCAAATGTGCTATGTGCAGAACCAGAATAACTTATCCGACAGCAGGGATCTTTGGGGCAGCTTGCAGTAAGAATTGGTTGTTTAGAAGATAACATTTGGAGCTGAGTATTTCTCCCATCAAAGGGATGTAGTTCAAGGGCAGATAGCATCCATCATGATACGAGGGACTTCAAAAAGAGGTAAGCATCTTAGAAATGCTCACCAGCCAATGGCTTCTAATCAGTTCTGCAACCTGTCTTGAGAATGATCTTCAGCCCAACATTTTCATCTCTCAAAGGTTTCCTTGCAGGATTATAGAAACCCTATAATCCCTGAGATTGCACCTTCTGATTCCAGGCCTTTTCGTGTTAAAGGTGGTACACTACAATTGGCAAGGTCAATCTAGTCAACACAAGGAAATCATTAAAATGCATTCTTGGTCCTTGGATCTGAAGCAAGACTAGAGCTTCGGTGTCTGGGCTCATCTCTTAAGTGGATACCACGTTGATTTGACATACCACAAATGAGTATTTCTGCTTTATGCTCCCTCTTATCTTTACCAGTCCTTTTTCGCAACATTGGACAAGTTGCTTAAGTGGAACTCAGCAAGAATGGAAGAAATACAGCTTACTCACTCATCTAGTGAAATCTGCTCCTGCCCATAAAAACCTAGGCTTCAGTAAACAAGTTGTCTGCATTTCTTGCTGCAAGAGACTAATGCTGCAATTTTTAAAAGAAGCATCTTCCAACCCTAGTTTTTGCTGAAGATGCTACATACTTGATTTGTAAAGGTGTTTTTGTTTTTTAATGCTTATAGTGTTACCTGGAGGAGTGAGATTTAGCAACTGGAAGATAGTGATCAAAGGAAACATAGATTAAAGGGTTGCAGAGGTCAGTCTGTGAATGTAGGAGTAAAACATTTGGGCGACTTAAAGTACTTAAGTCTCATTGGACGACTTCCAAGCATTTTACTTGTAGAGGCCTTTAGAACACTGTAGGTTACACCTTTTATTAGAACTAATACAGAAATGGAAATGAAGGACTTTGCCTGCCATTGTTTAGTTCCCCATCCATAGGTCAAGGATCTGGTCTAAAGCAACTCTGTTGCAAAGAACGGTCCACTTTCAGCTTCAGTGACAGATTCCCTTCTTTGCCGGACTTTGATCTTAAGAAGCTAACTCACTAACTCCTTCTGCCTTGGGGATCAAATCTGCTTCAAGTCATTTAATCAGTATTTTTTGACATATTCTATTGGGCTAGAGATTTCATGTAAGTTCAGGCAATTGATTGCCATGCTTCTTCACTCTTGGAGTTCAAAAATTCTCCGTAATGTGAGTCTTAGCCCTTTGTGGGTGCAGGATGTTGTCATCTCATATTGGAGAAAAGCTCAGCCTTGTTTTTGAGAAGTCTTATTTCCCATTTCTCTCCTCCAAACTTGAACATATTGGTTTTTCCTCCTGCCTCTAATAATCTTTATTTTGTTTCTATGGATATTTCCAGGTTTTTTGTCCCAAATGGATGTGACCTGAGTTGAATATGACACAGACATCATCCATTTGAATATATTAGGAGACTTAGCATGATTCACCTGTCCTTTCTTACTTATAATAACCTTTTTAATGCAGCACATGTGATATTGGCTTCCCCCCAAACTGTTTCTTTGGTTCTAAAACTTACATTCATGCCCACATATTTTAATGTTGCAATTCCTCCTTGTGCCATTTGCGGGATACAGGGTAGTTCCCTGAGCTCTTCCTCCATAAATATCATCTTCCATGTTCGGGAACAAACTATAGAGAAAACTATTTCTAGGACTAGGGCAAAGAGGCACCGTTGCTCTGAAAATAGGCCAAATACTCAAGAATGTAGTAAACCCCCTCCCCCTTACATTCATTGAAATGATGGTAAGACATTCATGGGCAATACATTTGGATTGAGATCTTAGGTGGTGCAGTGGGTCAATCCATCTGGCTTTGAACCAGAAGGTTGGTGGTTCGATCCCACCAAGGGACAATTGTGGACAAGATTCCATCATTGCAATGGATTGAGCTATATGATGTTGGGGGTCCCTTCCAACTCTACAGTTCTATGATTCTGTGAGGTTAAGAGGGGGTTATTGGTAAATTGAGGGGGAGAGTTGGTGAAAAGCAGTTGCAAATAACATTTGCTGTATCGACTAATATTGTGTTTGCAGAGCAAGAAGACCCTGTCCCCAGGGTTACCCTGTGATAGTTTCCCTTTCATTATATATGTTTCAAGTGCATGATAAATATCATATTGTATGTTGGCCAAAATGTTTGTTCATTCAACTGTCAGAGAAGCAGAGTATAAAGGGATATTTTCCTCAGTAAATAGTTTCACTTAATCGAGCCAGCAGTATTGCAAGCAAGGCAAGTTTGGCTTTTTGGCCTTGAAAGCACATTTAAATACAGTGGTGCCCCGCAAGATGAATGCCTCGCAAGACGGAAAACTCGCTAGACGAAAGAGTTTCCGTTTGGAGGTGCTTCGCAAAACGAATTTCCTATGGGCTTGCTTCGCAAGACGACAATGTCTTGCGAGTTCCTGCTGGGTTTTTTTCCTCCGCCCCTTTTTCTAAGCCGCTAAGCCGCTTATCAGCTGATCCGATCAGCAGATAAGCCGCTAAAAGCCGCTAATAGCGCTAATCCGCTAATCCTTCAATGGGCTTGCTTCGCAAGACGAAAAAACCGCTAGACGAAGAGAATCACAGAACGGATTGTTTTCGTCTTGCGAGGCACCACTGTACACAAAAGAGTGTATGTAGCAATCAGAGCTTTCCATTTATTTTTAAAATTTACAGCCTTTTGCAGCTTCTGGGAATTTAAGAAGCAGCTTCGATGGCTGAGGAGGCGAGACTGTAGTTGCCTTAAAAAGAAAAGTTAAAATCTCTTATGCGCATGTTGAGTGAGCTGCAGACTTTTTTGGATTGCATCCATTGACTCTTTAAGAAACTGTTTGCTTCTGTATTTGGAGGGAATGAGTCACGAGTCCGTGGAACTGCTAATATTAAACAAACTGATTGCTGGCAGTGAATTGTGCTTGGATGGTATTTAAGTGTAGGGTTGCTGAGGTTGTGCACCCATGACTGTGCTATCCTAAGCCTGAGATCCACATATGGTAGAAATGCAAAATAATGTTAATGGTGTTGTTGTTGTTTGCTTCATTTATGAATTGTTTCTGTTGAAGCACATTGTAGCAATTTCACAATACAATAAAAGCATGTATAAGACAACAGCATATATAAAAATTTCAGATCTAACACAGATACTGATTAGGATAAAAACCACCGCTTAGCAGAGGAAATGGCGTCTTCATAATGACGTTTTTAAGTTGAGGAATGTTTTCTCCTGGTGCCTAAAAATATATAATGAAGGCGGCCAGGTGAACTTCCCTGGGAAGAGCATTCCACAAAAGGGGAGCCACTGCAGAGAAGGCCCGTTCTCGTGTTGCCACCCTCCGGACCTCTAGAGGAGGCGGCACACGAAGGAGGGCCTCAGAAGATGATCTCAGGGTCTGGGTAGGTTCACATGGAAAGAGGCGATCCTTGAGGTATTGTGGTCCTAAGCCACTGTAGACAAAGATTGGAATAATGGGCAAGCTGTCCTTTGAGGAACACCTGCCAACCATTATTGATCTTTGGTTTGAGGGACCCCTGAAGAGTTTTTGGGCAACCCTAGGGATCCTTGGAACATAGCTTGTAAGCTACTCTACTCAAGTATATATATAATTATGGGTGTAAAATTTCTGGAATTTTCAAGACAATTTGCCCCTTTTGGAAGAAAACGGAAACTTTTGGGGAAATTGAAATATATCCATTAATTGTTTTCTTATGAAACCTAAACTTATTTCACTGCTTTAACATGAAACACATCATTTTTAAGTTGACATACAAAGTGATACTGTTTGATATGTTTACAAAATGGGTGTTTACTCTGAAGACTCACTCTGTTTAGTAGTAGAACTTATTTCCAGGATAAGGGCCTCAAAAGTATATGTTTCTTAGTTTTGCAGAAGCAAAATTGCAGGAGAGAGCTGTGTGTGTGTGTTTATATATTTCCCTTCAGTAAAAACCAATTCCTAGAGTAGCTTATGAATATTTGTGGTAAGACAATCCTTGCTCCCCAGGCTTACATTTTAAAAGGCAGGGCACAAAAGGAAAAGGGACTGGGCACTATTTTTTACTTATATATAAAGCATTAATGAAAACTATGTAAAAAAAAAATTCTTAATTTTTTTTGGCTGATATTTAGATAAATATTTTTCTACCTTTACAGGATACAAAATTATGGATAATAATGGAATATCTTGGCGGAGGTTCTGCTCTTGACCTTGTAAGTAATCAGCTTATAGTAATGGAACTAAAGGGTATTTATCTGAATTTGCAGTTCTTTCTATGCGCATTATAAATTCAGAGTGATCTACATTGATGTCCGACTGCTTAAACAGAAAGACATCCAGCAGCTTTTCTTTCCTCTCCAGCACTCCTGCACCCCAAAAACTGCTCTGGTGTGCCCCAACCCTCCAGGTCAGATCTTGAGAGTGCATAGGAGGTGCAAGGGGGAAGTTGGGAAGAAGAAAAGTTTTTGCTACACTGGATCTCCCCAATAGGAATTTACCATATTTTTTGCTCTATAAGACTCACTTTTCCCCTCCTAAAAAGCAAGGGGAAATGTGTGTGCATCTTATGGAGTGAATGCAGGATGCGCAGCTATCCCAGAAGCCAGAACAGCAAGAGGGATTGCTGCTTTCACTGCGCAGTGATCCCTCTTGCTGTTCTGGCTTCTGAGATTCAGAATTTTTCTCTCTCTTGTTTTCCTCCTCCAAAAACTAGGTGCGTCTTGTGGTCTGGTGTGTCTTATAGAGCGAAAAATACGGTATTTATTTGTTGCATTTATTTCCCACCCTCACTTTGATGATTCCAAGCCAGCTTCATGTAAACCTCATAAATTTGTGCTAACTAACTTTAGTAAAAGGGTAAATTTATGTACCTGAACCATTAGTTCTTGGCTGAATAATATAGGAAAAAGTACTTTGATTGTGTCATTTGATTTTTATCGGAATAAATGCCCCATTCTTAATCATCTTCCTTGGATATTGAATAGGAAAACTGTGAGCCATGATCCGCTGTAATAAAATTGGAATAATGATGAGTGAGCAGAGGCTGTTTGCCTCAAATGGCTCTGTCCTCCTAGAGCAGCCCAGTCAAACACGGAAAACTCCACAAGTGATTCAGTATTGAACTGATTACAGGGGAGCAGATTCCCTTCCAGCTGAATGCCTGATTCTTCGGGCACCCTCCCTCCGATTCCTCGCAGCCTTCCTTCCAGCCTATCCCAGTTCCCAAGGGGAAAAGCTTACACCCCGAGTTGGCTTTTTGTGATGCCACTGCCTGAGAACATGGATGTGCAGAAAAGGTCAAAATAAATACTTCTGTAGCTTTGTGTCGTTGCTGATTGCTCACGTTTTCTCCTCTATTGTGTATGAAGTGTCTAAAACAGTGTTTCCCAAACGTTTTTGGGCAACGGCACACCTGTTTACTGAAAAAAAATCTCGCGGCACACCACCATTAAAGCCCCGCCCCGTGACGTCAGCGCGCAGCGTCACGCCGGGAGGGACGCACAAAAGTGAAAGTTTTTTCCCTCCCCCTTGCTGGGGAACCTCCAAGCTTTGGGGGTGGGAGGAGGCAGCAGAGCGAGGGACTGAGGGACGGCGGCAACTGAGGCGGCGGCGGCTGAGGCAGAGCTGGGAAGGGGGTTTCCAGGGGACACGGCAGCTCCTCGAAAGGCTTCTCTCAGCTGCGCTCAATCCGCCTCGGAGAGGATTTCCCCTCCGGTCCCATGCGTTCGTTTGGGGCATCGCTCCGGCTGCTCCCTCTCCCGCCGCGCAGGAGCGATGCCTCTCTCTGGCTCTCCCTCCGCGCAGGCTGAGGGAGGGAGGGAGGGGCGCGTGTGACCCGTCTCTGCTGGGAGACCAAACCCAGCGAGGCAGAGTCGCGCGGAGGCGCCCAGGCAGCACTGCCGGCTGCGAGGAGGAGCGCCAGGCAGCAGCAGGAGGCGCGGCCTCTCCTCGCCGCCGCTGCCCCGCCTCTCGCCGCCCGACTCGCCCGCCTCCCTCCAGGCATCTCGCGGCACACGAGGCAACGTCTCACGGCACACTCGTGTGCCGCGGAACACCGGTTGGGAAACACTGGTCTAAAATTCTTGACTTCAATTTCCCCACCCGCAAAGGTTTATCAGCTGTGTTTGTGCGACATTTATCTTGGAAAAATAATCTGTTGTGTTTTCTCCTAGTTAGAACCAGGGTCTCTTGATGAAATCCAGATTGCTACGATATTGAGAGAGATTCTGAAAGGCCTTGATTATTTGCATTCAGAAAAGAAAATCCACAGAGATATTAAAGGTAAAACTTTGTAGGGTTTATGTTTCAAATGCTTTGGGATGGATCTAGTTTTAGTCATGGTTAGAGTAGACCCACTGAAATCAAATCACATAAGCTAGTCCTTATTTCTGTGGGTCCTTGATTAAGTCAACCTGTTTAGCTTAAACATTCGAACTCAACATTCTTTTTTTTTTTAAAAAAATATATTTTCTAGCTGCTAATGTGCTGCTGTCTGAACAAGGAGAAGTCAAACTAGCAGATTTTGGTGTAGCCGGACAACTAACTGATACACAAATAAAGAGAAATACCTTTGTGGGTACACCGTTTTGGATGGCACCAGAAGTAATAAAGCAGTCAGCGTATGATTCAAAGGTAAGATTAAAGGAGGACTGCTTAGGGTTCAGAGTTGGGCCTGAAAATCTTTTCTTCTTTTGTCTTTGTTAGGTGAAGTAATATTAATCTGCCATGCTGATATTGAGACACACACACACACACACAGTGGTACCTTGGTACTCAAACGGCTTGGCTCCCGCACAAATCGGCTCCCAAACACTGTAAACCTGGAAGCCAGTGTTCCGGTTTGTGAACATTTTTCGGAAACCTAATGTCCGACGTGGCGTCTGCAGCTTCTGATTGAGTGCAGGAAACTCCTGCAGCTGATCAGAAGCTGCACCTTGGTTTTTGAACGGTTTCTGGAGTCAAACGGAGTCCCAGAACGGATTAAATTTGAGAACCAAGTACCACTGTATATTTTCTATATATAGGTTTGTATATATACTGTATGTTTTATTAACACTTATCACAGTACAATAAAAGACAAGCTAGTTACAAGCACGCGCGCGCACGCGCGCGCGCACGCGCGCGCGCACACACACACACACACACACACACACACGAAGAGAGAGAATAAAAGAAGAAAGAAAAGATAGAAGAGATAAAAAGTACAGGATCCTCTCTCCCCAATATATCTTAACTTTTGTCCCATACCGAAAAGGGCGTGTCCTCCCAGCTCTCACCTGGGGGCGTTCCTCTCTTCTCCCAGCCTCTCATCCTGAGAGATTTCTGCTTCCCTGTCTCTCACACAAGGACCTTCAGACTGTACATCCCACTGAAATTTTCTTAGGAGGATTTACCTGGATCCCTTTTGTATAGCCCTTATTGCTCACGCAGGTGTTTAGGATTATAATATTTCCAGAATTGTTACGTAAACGGGTTTGAAAAACAGACATGTTTATTTTGAGTGCTTATTTCGAATACCTAAAATTAAGATGCAGAGGGAAGGGTGTGCTTGTTTAATGAATGATCAGTCAGTGAAATGAATGAAATGTTGCAGTTGGTTTCAACGAAAGGGCTCCCTTTTTGTCTCCCTCCTGCTGTAAGTAAGATGGCTTCTGTGTTACAGGCAGATATCTGGTCACTGGGGATAACAGCCATAGAGCTTGCGAAAGGTGAGCCTCCACATTCAGAGCTGCATCCCATGAAAGTTCTCTTCCTGATCCCAAAGAACAACCCACCAACATTAGAAGGAAACTACAGCAAACCTCTGAAGGAGTTCGTTGAAGCCTGCTTGAACAAGGACCCAAGTTTTGTAAGTTGTTTTGGTTTTTCCACACCCCATATATCTTTGGTCATGTTGCTTAACGCACATGTGGGAAAATGGAAGACTGAACTGTCGATAATGTTTGAATGTTCTGTGTATTGGATATACTTTTTTTTAACAACAAAATAATTTTATTCTGACATGCCCCTGTTTTTTGTGGAGCTTTATTCTGAAAATGTCTGCCTTTCTCTTTCCTATGTTACTTTAAAAAAAAATTGATCACACATTAATTTAATAATAATAATAATAATAATAATGTTATTTGTACCTCACCTATCCAACTGGGTTGCCGCAGCATTTCATTCGAAACAGCCTCTTTCAGTTAAGATAAAGGAGAATTGAGAGGGTTTCTTTCAAATTCAAAAATCTTCGCCAAAACCATGTTCATGTGGGTTTCACTTTGTGTATTCAGTCCACATTTTGTTCAGGCTGATGACAAACAGGTGTCACTTCCACAAAATCGTTTAGCTTTCTTATATTCTCTAGGATCAAAATATTTTGATGGAGGTTTACAAGCTACCTACATTTTAAGCTGTTTCTAACTTTTTATGATCCATCTATACTACTGATTAGCAACTACTTTTGTCGTGGAAGCACTTGGACGGGGCGAAGGGTTTCAGCCAGTGCATTGACCACCCTCCTGTTGTGTGCAATGGTTGTTTCTGGAATGTGGAATAGCGAAACGCTTGATTGGCAGCTAGGGATTTAGGTAGCTGTGCATGTATTGCATTGACGAATCCGTCTAAAAGTATCAGTGAATCCATGCCTAAAGTCTACTATGGCTCATCTTTCCACCGATGTATATTATTAGTGAAATCTATATGCCAGGGGTCAGCAACCTTTTTCAGCCGTGGGCTGGTCCACCGTCCCTCAGACCATGTGGTGGGCTGGACTATATTTCGAAAAAAACCCCACAAATGAATTCCTATGCCCCACAAATAACCCAGAGATGCATTTTAAATAAAAGGGAACATTCTACTCATGTAAAAACACGCTGATTCCCGGACCATCCACGGGCCAGATTTAGAAGTTGATTGGGCTGGATCCGGCCCCCGGGCCTTAGGTTGCCTACCCCTGCTATATGCTGAGAAAGGAATAAAAGTAATACAGGAGAATTAAGCATTCATTAGCCACAAATACACATTTCTTAGAATAAACCAATGCCTGATGTCTGTCTTCAGTGACTGTACGTTTAGCATTTTGGTGGACTTCAGTTTCTTTTTCTCAGTTATCTCCTTGCAAATCAACTGAAGTGTATTAAGCAAAGCAACTTGCTTTTATTTTTAAGAGACCAACGGCAAAAGAACTCCTGAAGCACAAGTTTATAATACGGAATGCAAAGAAAACCTCTTACTTGACAGATCTCATCGACAGGCATAAAAGATGGAAGTCTGAGCAGAACCATGATAACTCCAGCTCTGAAGATTCAGATGGGTAAGCGTGAAAGCGGGAGAATACCGCAGATGTGGTGGGGAAAGCTTAAAAAAACAAGAACAATATATCTTGGACATACTCAAAATTAAACTGCTGAAAAGTAACGTAACTTTAAGAGTATAGTCGTACCTTGGATTCCAAACGCCTTGCGAGTCTGACATTTTGGCTCCCGAACGCCGCAAACCCGGAAGTGAGTGTTCCGGTTTGTGAACGTTGTTTGGAACCCGAACGTCTGTCGCGGCTTCCGATTGGCTGCAGGAGCTTCCTGCAGCCAATCGGAAGCCACACCTTGGTTTCCGACCGTTTTGGAAATCTTACGGACTTCTGGAACGGATTTTGTTCAACCTCCGAAGTACCCCTGTATGTACATAATCCTTCCTTTTTCAATGCTTTGGGTAACCAGAAATAACTCTGGAGCAGTCACCTGTGATCTGAAGTGTGGGAGGGAAAGTTTTAATTAAAGTTGGATTTTAGAAGTAAAAGAACATGAGGACAGCAAGTAAGAGATCAAGACAAGGAATTTTTTTTAAAGAGTGCAGTTCTTTGTTTTTTTTTGGACTATTTGGGGTAGCATCATAGATAAATGAGTGGGATTTGAGAAAGAATTATGAAAATAATTTGATCAAAGTTTTGTAATAGATAAGATTTTTTTGTATAATGCAGCAGGAAAGGTCCGGCAAAAAAAACACTATGAAGATAAGAGTGGGAAGTCAACCTCTAAGGATTTATTCAATTGGAAATTAATTTTTATTTTTTAAACTGTTAATCTTAAAATTTGTTAAATTTGTTAATCTGGTGGTTGTTTTTTATATATATATATATAAAAAACCTTAAAAATTAACCCCCCCCCAAATGAAGTATAGGAGGAATACTCTGAAGCAAGCATGTCCCAAGCATGGCACCCTTGTGTATAAGAGAGCTGTAGGACAGTATTAAAAAGTGCTGTTTTTAAAGTCTATGTTGCTGAGATTGTGTTAAGGAGCCTTTCTGATAAACCTGAAGGGAGAAACTCACAGGGACAGATGTGATACGCATGCACACTTTTTACATTTGTCTTGATTTCAGCTTGAATAGACAAAAAAATCCCTAAGAATGGTGATGGACTGTTATTACCAAATTACCAAAACACTCATGCTTTAGTTGGGCTTGTTGCATGCTGCTAAGATGTAGAATGTCGTGGGATGCAGGTGGTGCTGTGGTCTAAACCACTGAGCCTCTTGGGCTTGCCAATCAGAAGCTTGGCGGTTTGAATCCCTGCGACGGGGTGAGTTCCCATTGCTCAGTCCCAGCTCCTGTCAACCTAGCAGTTCAAAAGCACACCAAAAGTGCAAGTAGATAAATAGGTACTGCTCCAGTGGGAAGGTAAACGCCGTTTCCGTGCGCTGCTCTGGTTGCTCTAGAAGCGGCTTAGTCATGCTGGCCACATGACCTGGGAAAACTGTCTGCAGACAAACGCCAGCTCCCTCGGCCTATAAAGCGAGATGAGCACACAACCCCAGAGTCGTCTGCGACTGGACTTAACTGTCATGGGTCCTTTACCTTTACCTATTAAGATTGTATAAATCCAGAAATGGATCATGGGGCAGATTTGTAATTTATGCTGGATGTAATAATTCTGGCGCCTAATTATTAAAAACCTATTTCAGATCGCTTTTTCTGCCTATAAAAACTTTGAATTTTGGTGATAGCGTTGGTTTAAAGTAATCATGTTCGAGTTTGCCAGTTTAGTTTTATTAGCAGCCGATGATGATCATATGAACAATGTGATTATTTTCTTTGCCATAACCCGTGAAAAAATATTTGTGCTAAAGGGAAACAGATGGCCAAGCCTCGGGTGGCAGTGATTCAGGTGACTGGATATTTACAATCCGAGAGAAAGATCCCAAGAACCTCGAGAATGGAGCTACTCAGCTACACGAGTGGGAAAGGAACAAGGTATTTACAGACACTGGAGGAAACAAGAAACTGAAAGTATTTTAAGAAGAAATGCATGCTTTTCAACTTTCATTATCACAGCTTACGGTTCTTACATGTGAGGTTTCAGGCTGTACCCAATGCTGCATGCAGTGTTTCTCTTGCTTAACAGGACTTGCTCTTCCTCTCCGTGCAGCCACAAAATTACTGTATTTTTCACTCTATAGGACGCACCTTTTCCCTTCTAAAAAGTAAGGGAAAATGTGTGTGCGTCTTACGGAGCGAATGCAGGCTGCGTGGCTAAGCCCAAAGCCAGAACAGGAAGACGGAGCGCTGCGCAGCGCTCCGTCTCGCTGTTCTAGCTTGGGGATGCCTGCGCAAAGCCTCTGCAGGGCAGTGGGGTGCCTTTACCCCGCTGCCCTTCGGAGGCTTCACAGGCTGTCCCTGAAGCCAGAACAGCAAGAGGCTATCGCAGAAACCAGATCCCTCTTGCTGTTCTGGCTTCTGGGGTTCAGAATTTTTTTCTTCTTGTTTCCTCTCCCCCAAACTAGGTGCATCTTATCGTCCAGTGTGTCCTATGGAGCGAAAAATACGGTAGCTCCAGGAGGTGCCCTAAACCAGGGGTAGGCAACCTAAGGCTCATGGGCCACAAGCGGCCCACGGCGGTTGTTAAACCGGCCCCCGAGCTGCCCGCTTGGCGAGTCTCCGTGTGCTGCGCTAAACAGGCACAGCGCAGCGCGGGAACTTGCTTCTGCGGCGCTGAAAATCGCACCTGCGCAGACTCCGGAAATTGTGTCTACGCAAACACCAGAAATCGCGGCCGTGTGCTCACACACACACACACAGGATCTGGCCCACAGAGGGGTTTCCGCTGGAGTGAACCGGCCCAGGCGAGGTAAACCTTGCCGACCCCTGCCCTAAACTTTGTGGAGCAGTTGAGAAGGTGTGCAGAGGGCTGCAGGAGGAGAAGAGGGGGGACGTTCCGTTGCAGAAGCAAGTGTTGGTTGTGCAAGCAGAACAGCAGCATTGGGCGCAACCCTTTGTAACTCTCTGCACATTCAGAACTCAGTGTGCAGACTCCTAAGTATAGGTTCCGTTGAAATTCCTGTGAAACGAAATGGGGTTGGGGAACCTCTGGCCCCTGGGCCAATTTTGACCCGGCAAGGGTCCCAGTTTGGCCTGAGAGGCAATTTCCCCCAAACCATGCCCACCTACCCCAGACCTGGCCTTATATGTGGTGTCAGATTTGGGACAGATAGACACAGCTGGAACCTGGTCGCACAGCCGATCCTTGCAGAAAGCAGCTTTGCCAGCCCTTTGGAAGTACAGAAAAAGGGCTTTCAAAGCAGCAGTTTCCTGTGTGCGGCACTTCCCAAGTGCTAAGCATAGGGCTGGCAAAGCCCCTTTTGCTGTGGTTCCCCCGTGCCTGACAACCAACCGGGTGTTGGGCATTTGGGAACAACAGTGAAAAAGGGACTTTGCCAGATCTCTGGGACAAGTAGCTGGCAGATGGGATATTTTTAATGCTATCCCTATCACAGAGTCTGATGATGCTAGCAGCAGCCACTGTATTAGTGCCGCTGAAGGATATGCCTGGGTTGGCATGTGGCAGTGATGCAGCAGTTGTTTGCCATCCTCAGTGTGCCGGTGCCCCTGTTTACGCATTAAGCATATGCACATGTGTTCCTGTAATGTCTTCCCTTGCTTTGGTTCATATTCTTGCAAATAGTAAACCAACTCCTTCCTGAAGTTTCATCAGATACATACTTCCCACCCACCTCAAATTTAACTTATTTGGTATTGCACATCTGAAACATTTCATAATCCTAAAGTACGCTTTGCTACATAAAGTAGTTAATCGTCTGTTTAACTACATTTCCTTGTTATTTGTAATAGAACTTTTGTTATGTGATATACAGAAGGAGTTCCACTTGTTCAAAATTGAATTTCAGCTTGCAATAATGCATTAATGAATTCTGGATGTATTTGTACTTGGAAGTGTGTGTTGCATAAAATGTAGAATATAGGAAAAGAATGAGAAAATGTTCAGTATATGTATCTCGCTTGATGTATTATGGAATTCTTTATTTTTTCTCCCAAAGGAAAATACCATTCAAAGGCGTCCTTTATCTCGGTGCTTATCAACAATCATATCGCCATTATTCACAGAGGTAAATTTCCATCAGCTTCACTGTTTTCCAGTCAATGTGAGGACCACATTGCCTTGTGGTCAGCCTTCCTGGTTGGGGGACTCATGCCTGTGGTGGGTGGGGCCAGGTACAAAATGGGCGGAGCAAAATATATGATCCTCTCTTTTGTATAGCAGGCTACATTCCTGACATGCAAAAGTCTCTCTGTATACGTACATTCCTCCCTCTTGGCAAACTAGAGGTGCTTTTGCCATTTAAGGAACCATTCCAGCCAGGCAGATGCTCTCAGAGAGACTGTGGAGCCTGGCATGGTGAGGGTTGTGGTCTGGCTAGGAGAGGCAGGACTTGGGGAAGCGTCCCAAGCAACAAATAGAGTCTGTGTATTTGGTCCCTGAGGGACGCGGGTGGCGCTGTGGGTAAAACCTCAATGCCTAGGACTTGCTGATCGTATGGTCGGCGGTTCGAATCCCCGCGGCGGGGTGAGCTCCCATCTCTCGGTCCCAGCTCCTGCCCACCTAGCAGTTCGAAAGCACTCTTAAATGCAAGTAGATAAATAGGTGCCGCTTTATAGCGGGAAGGTAAACGGCGTTTCCGTGCACTGCGCTGGTGCTGGCTCGCCAGAGCAGCTTTGTCACGCTGGCCACGTGACCCGGAAGTGTCTTCGGACAGCGCTGGCTCCCGGCCTCTTAAGCGAGATGAGCACGCAACCCCAGAGTCGGTCACGACTGGCCCGTACGGGCAGGGGTACCTTTACCTTTACCTATTTGGTCCCTGAGCCCGGTGTTCCCCACCCCCGCTTTAGAAATGATGAGAGAAAATACAGGAAAACAAATGTAATTAGTTTTGCTTCTTTAAGTACATATAGGATAAATGCAAGATTTTGTTTTTAAAAAAATGAGAATTACGGCAGGGTTTCCCAAACATGGGTCTCCAGCAGATTTTGGACTACAACTCCCATCATCCCTAACCACTAGGGATGATGGGAATTGTAGTATAAAAATAGTTGGAGACCCCTGTTTGGGAAACCCTGAGTTGCAGTGATATTTTGATCCCTTCATATTGGAAATAGTAGTAGTAACAATTAAATACCTATGTAGCCCTGTTCAGAAGCTCAGAGACTATCCCGTCTTTGCAATAACTCTGCAAAGAAGATCAACAGCATTCTTGCTGCGCAGCAGATGGGAGGCTGGAGCTGAGATAGAGCAGATTCCTAGCTTAAGTCTAGGGGGATTTGGGGAGAAATGTAAGTCTGAACCAGGACTTGATGCTGAAAGGCACTAGGGCATCCTTTCCACCTCGCCTGGGGATGATTGGGGCTGTAGTCCAGCAATATCTGGCGAGCTCCATGTTGGGGGAAGGTTACACCAAGGTAGCAGCAGGGGATAGACTGTCGAAACTTGAATTTAATATGCACCAGAGTTGGGAGTACACATTACTGCCTGCAGAGTACTTCATAAAGCTGTCCATCTTCTGGACTTCAAGAGTTAGAGCAGAGTTTCCCAAACTTGGGCTCCCAATTTGATTTTGGACTACAATTCCCATCATCCCTGACCACTGGTCCTGCTAGCTAGGGATGATGGGAGTTGTAGTCCAACAACAGCTGGAGACCCACGTTTAGGAAACCCTGGTTATAGAAACGCAGTGCTGTGATGAAGCGGCATTTGTTCCTGCCCCCTCTGCTCCCCGTTCCCTTCCTGGTTTTAAAGACCTCATGGTGGGAGGTGGGGATATTAGCAGTTACGTTAGTGAGCCAGAAGGAAAAGCAGTAGAAGTCCTTCTCCCACCTCTATTTTGAAGAGGGTGGGGGGCAGCTGCTGTAGTGCAGCCCACATTTCTTAAGGTAAAGGGACCCCTGACCATTAGGTCCAGTCGTGGCCGACTCTGGGGTTGCGGCGCTCATCTCGCTTTATTGGCCGAGGGAGGTGGCATACAGCTTCTGGGTCACGTGGCCAGCATGACTAAGCCACTTCTGGCGAACCAGAGCAGCGCACGGGAACGCCGTTTACCTTCCTGCCGGAGCGGTACCTATTTATCTACTTGCACTTTGACGTGCTTTCGAACTGCTAGGTTGGCAGGAGCAGGAATTGAGCAACGGGAGCTCACCCCATCGCGGGGATTCGAACCACTGACCTTCTGATCGGCAAGTCCTAGGCTCTGTGGTTTAACCCACAGAGCCACCCGTGTACCCCACAGCGCCAGAGAAGCACCTTGTGGTGTGAGAGGTGCCAACCATTCCCCATAACACACACACACACACACACACACACACGGCTGCTTTTTATATATTAGCTGTGTGTTCGATTCTGCAGTTTTTATTTTGCTGGGTTAAAACTGTTAACCACTCCTGGGCATGGAGTGGCAAATTCCTATTAGGAGACGAAAAAGGACTCTTTCCCAACGAAAAGGTAGCCTAGTGACTCACTAAATGTGTTCGTTGCCATTAGAGGCAATTTATTTGTGCAGTAAAATTACTTTCCTTTTTTGGCACAGCAGCCTCCTGGTTACTTCTGTGAGTTCCTGGTGCTTTTAAAGGGAACATATCGTTCAGGGAGGGAGATCAGGATGGGAAAGGCTATTGTGCTGAAAATAAGGGACATGACCCTGCTATACATGTGTCTGTGTAGAATGTTGCCCTGCATTTTGGCTCTTAAACCATGCATTTATAAGCAGCTGTCAAGTTAAAGCCCTGCTCATGCTTTTAGAGATTCCTTGAGATTTGCTTGATAACATACAATAGTTTCAATTTACGTTGTAGATCTCCATGCAGCCTGTAGATCTAAAGTGTGGTGGTACTTGATTTTTTAAAAAACTCTTTTGCTCATTTAGATTGTACAGTATACGCATTTCAAATGGTTACATGGCTAATACCCTTTTTTTGTTTTGATTCAGCTGAAAGAGAGGAGTCAAGCTTGCGGGGGGAACATGGGATCCATAGAAGAACTGAGAGAGGCTATCTATTTGGCTGAAGAAGCATGTCCAGGCATTTCAGATACCATGGTGACAGAGCTCGTGGAGAGACTTCAGAGGTAATAGTAAAGCCACCTAGCAGGAAACAGTATTACCCAATTCAGTGTGGTTCCTTCAACATAAATGTATCAATGGTATCCTAACCCACATGGCCAAGGAGTATGAAACCTGAATTCTCTGCCAGAAGGAGATGTGAATTCTCCTAGCAGAAATCTCTGCTTGTTTGATCTCATGCTTATTAGGTAATATTGTATGACTTAGTTAAGTGGGGTAACATTCCTACAATCAAGGATGTCACAGGGCATAAGTTATTAGCAGAACCATTGACTTTTTAATCTAAGGAATAGTCTTGAGTTATTCACTAATTTACTGTTTGCTATCAGATTGGGTATACAGTGGAACCTCAGTTGCTGAACGCTTCGGAAGTAGAACATTTTGGCTTTCGAACGCCGACAACCTGGAAGTGAATTCTTCCATTTTTGAACGTGCCTTGGAAGTTGAACGGCTTCCGAGGCGGGTTGCTCCATTTTCCCCCAGTGGATTTTGCCGACCTGCAGTTGCGCCTTGGCTGTCAAAACGTTTTGGAAGTCGAACAGTCTTCCGGAACGAATTACGTTCAACAACCGAGGTTCCACTGTAGTGGCAGGTTTTAAGACATCCACAAACTCTGGATTTGAGCAAATGTCTTATGAGAGTATAGCAAATTGCAAAGAGAGTAAAATTACCAGAGCATATGAGGGGCAGGGAAGGGCCAACTGGGCACTTTTTAGAACAGCGTTTCCCAAACTTGGGTTTGTTTTGGATTGATTTTGGAATCTTCTGAGATTGCCTCCATCTCTAGAGCCATAGGCTTGAAAAGAAGCATTATCTTACTGCCATCACAAAATAGCTTGATCACCGGTTTTGCTTTCATGACACCATTTCTCCCCCCCCAGGTATTCAGTAACTGGAGGAGGAAGCACATCATCCCACTAAAGTATTGTTTTGTGGCGTTTGCTTGTTCGATGTGGCTCCTATAGGCTCCTCCTCAAATGCTGGTCTGCCGCTGTTGCTTTCAGTGGCGAGCTCTCCAGTATGTGGACATTCCTGAAGGTGCAGCAACACAAATGGACAACATAGCAAGGGCATTGTTTTTCAGCTCTGTATAGTTTTTTTTTAAAGAAAAAACAATAATGCACATATTCAAAGGAGGTATCTTTTTAAATTTCTGAGATGTATATTTAGGATTGCAGTTAGGAAACTAAAGCTATTGTGAAATCTCAGGTATCTTGCTTTAAGTCATTGGTCTTCAACTCAACGATCCAGATTCAGAAGCGATTTATGTCTCAATCTAAAAGTGGGCGCCCCAATGGTACGGCCACTGTTTTCTTTCAGGGTCTTATTTTAACAAAATGCATAAGATTGGGAGATGAAATAATGGGGTTGGGTGGGGACTAAGTGGGTATCATATTTTAGGTTGGGATTTAAGATGGATCTCGGACCTGAACAAGTTGAAGACAACTGCTTTAAGTCGATGAATCTGTGAATTGGAAAACATACCATTGGCTCTGTGTACAGATTTGTATATAGTCACTTTTTTTACTCAAAACTTGCTCAATGTGCATATAGAATCCCTCTGTACAAATGGCCAAGTTCTCTGTAGATGATGCTAGTGAGGTAAATATTTTGGCAGGTCACAACTGATTATTGGCTTGCCTTTTGTTATATAACATTTTCGAACCGTATGACAAGAGGTTTGATTTGACCTTGTATTTGTAGGTCAAAAAGCTGTGCTATAAAAAATCTGGTTTGTACCTCAGATGCAAAGTTTGCTCTAGTTTTGTTACACGGTGTTATTCTTTTTATTAATCTAGAGTTGGGTTTCTAATCATGGTACGACATTGATTATTTCAGTTTCCTGAATCACTTGGTTTGAGGTTCTCTAATACTTGTTTGCTTTAGTGGGTTTTTTTTTATAAAAAAGTCTAAATTGTGCCAATCCAAAGTCTGAATTCAGTTTTATTAGGGTTTTTGTTTTTTTAAACTTCCTTGTAAAATCAGATCATCTCATACAACTAAATTAATTTTTTTTCTCTTGAAACACCACTTAAGAGATTCTGGCTGGATAATGGCAATTTGTAAGATGGTGATCTTAAAAACAATATAAAATATATGAAGCTTATGTATATGAAAACTTTTAATCATGATCATTGAGAGATACATTTGATTTAACTTGGTATCCAAGATCCATTGTTAAGGGGGAGAATACTTGAAATTTCATCAATACTTAAAATAGATATTCTCACTGCTGTACTTTAGTTAAATATCTGTATATTTGCTTGTTACATCTTTTGTGGTTCATCTTCTGAACTCGGCCTCTTTTACAATGGGCAAAAATCAGTAGAATGTCAACATTTTGCCTATTGGGAATATTTTTTTGTAAATGCTGTATAAATATCTGATAAGATATTCCATTGACTCTATTTCTTTTCAAGAAATTCCTTGAGGTGAATGGAATACATCCGTGCGAAGATGTAGTTCTCAAGAATTATTAAAAGGGGCTAACAAAAGAAAATAGGTTACTGACAATGACTTACATCACAATCCAACCATGTCTAGTCGGGAGTAAGTCCTATTGATTTCAGTGGGACTTGCTCCTAAGTAAAGGAGGGTAGGCTTGCAGCCTTAGTCAACATTTTTAATATTTCACAGTTCGAGTGAACGTGAAATCTTTGTTTTAGTCTTCAATAATATTAAACACATTAAAGTCCAACTCGGAACGTACCCTTTTGAGTCCAACCATGCCTGATCACACCTCGAGTGAGAACTTCCTATGCCATATGGACTAAAGATGAGCCAGGTGTGAAAATGCATTTCCAACACATACCATATTCTGCTTGCTGTAATGGTCTGCTGTAAACTGATTTTGCCCACCTCCTCCTCCTCTATAGGGTTGCCCCTAAGGCTCCCTGAAAAGACTTCCCTGAGGGTTGGAGCGCTCTAATGATTGCGGTGGGCTGTGACACGAGGCACAGAGGGAAGGGGGGAATCTTGTAAAACAGAGAGGAGGTAACTTCTGGAAGTAAGACCAGCCTGCCTGAATCATATGAGCAGAGTACTGGTGAAAAAGAGGCAACTTTTAGTCTGAAGAGGGTACCCTGTGGGAAAACTCCTCACACCCACGTGATCCATTTTCCAGTCTACATGGAGACTAAGACCTAACAGCATTTTCCAAATGGAGCTTCTAGAATTTATTTGTGAACAATCTGTTACTGTAAGAAAAATAATTGCAATTCACTTTGTTAAGAGTATTCACAGTTTGAGACTGAGGCAGAAAACTCTTTTGAAGATTTGGGCATTGGACTTCAAGAGACACCTTGACCGTGGCCTTTTTCTTTTAATTGGTAGGTTTTTTTGCGGTACTATATTTGCATAATTGGGCAGCTCTTATACAAAGATGGCTTTTAACAGAGGTGTTTAGTTGAAGACTTGCTGAAAGATTTAGGGATTTGCACCCAATCCTATGCCTATTTATCCAAGTCCCACACTGAATTCAGTTGGATTTGCTCCCAAGTAAACATGCATAGGATTACAGAACAATAATTTTTGTGGGTGAGGATGTCCAGTTGTGGTGTCCTGCGTATGCAAGGGACTGCACTTCAGTGGGGTTCCTCCTTCTCCTCCTATGCACCTCCAAAATTTGCTCGCAGGTGGGAGGCTGCAGGAGGGAAACTCCTGTTGCGTTTGATGTCATACTCTCACCCTCCTGTTAGAAGATAAAGCAAAATTGCAATTCTCTTCTGGTTATGATCAAATTCGGATTGTAGTTCCAAATCACCTCTCAAACTTTGCTATATGTTTTTTACTTTGGCCTTTTAAGTTAATGGGTGTCACGTTTTAAACAATGTATTAGAATTGTGCTCTCTAGGGAAATGCAATGTATGCTTTCTGCATTTTCGATGTGTATGGTGTCAGCAGGGCCATTGGCTTTATGCTTCCTGGGGCTGCTGGGAATTGCACTTCAAAACCTCTAGAGAGCACCATTATGGGAAAGGCTGGAGTAGCTAATACAGCTTTTCGTCCCTTGGCCAGGGGAGGTTTCGGTCTTAAAATATTCTTGCTAGTGAGCACCAAACACTTCCACAGTTACTCTAGAAATTTCCCACTTTTCCAAGATTTAGTATAATTAGGGCGCTAAGTGAGCTGTAAAAACAAACCCAAGTCTTTCGAACAAGAAAGGCTTCCTGTTTGTGTGGGCCGGGTCACTTTTCACATGTTTCGTTAGAAATCTGCTTCTCTTGCCGTTGCACTCTTGTAGTTGGGTGTAGGAGGTTAGGTGGCTGTTGTGTTGGTGCACAGAACTTCTGGTGAAATAGTGAAAGTCTCCTGTTTTCTGATTAGGTGCCATGGGCTCTTTGGTTCCCCCAATAGTTGGTCGTGTTGGGAGTCGCATCTGGTCTTGTTTTGTTCTTAATCGTCATGTAGCGTTTTGTATTTTTGGTACCTTGCAGCACGGGTGTTTTTGTTAACATCTTTAGGGGAAGTTCGGAGGTGTATTCTTCTAGTTGTCCCCTCCACGCAGCACACCCACCTCTGCTTGCTGATTGGGGCGGGTAATGTATGTCTTGGCTTTTCTACATAATGATGATTAACATGTTTACCACTTCCGTCACCCGTTTTGAAGAGGAAGGATCACGGCAGCTGCAGGACTGTAGATCCTGAGACCTATTCCTACACCTCACCTTGCTGTAGCCATTGCAGAAGCATCTGAATTGGCCCCATATTTTCTTTATAGACATTTGCTACTGAATTGAAGTTGCAAATGCACAGTGGAAAAAAGATTGGAAAAAGGATTGCCCCATGACACCTGAAAGATTTGTTGTCATGGTTTCATTGGCTAGAGTCCTCTTGATCAGATGCACATAGGATTATCAGTTAGCAGATGCACATACATGTAACCAGTGTGCCCAAATGTAAGAGATATCAGGTCTACAAAAGCCCTGGTGGAGGGTCTTGTATCTGTTTGGATTCAGCAGACTTTCATCTGCCTCTCATGTTTCGGGACCTTTTGGTGCCGCTGATTACAACTTTTCTTTGGTACTTGTGTGCCTCTATGACCCTTTATGCATCTGATAAAGTAACACTGCCGTAATCAATTTAAAGCAGCAGCGTAGGATTTAAACTTTTGTAAATAAGAAATCCAGAAATATTTTGAAACGGAGAACTTTCCACTTCTAAAAACAAGTTGTTCCTTAAAATTAGTAACATAATAAACAGATACAGAACTAGTTAACTTATGCAGTATCAAGAGTTGAAATTATTATTAATTATTATTATTTTAGGTACGATCCCTTGGGAGAATGCATGCATATATAATATAAACACATAGTTTTTGGGTGTGCAGAAAATTAGCGTTGACAGGTTTCAGTGCCTTCCCCTAAAACTTAAACCATGTGAGGTGATATATGCTATTAAGTCACAAATAATTTTTATTGGAATATTTTATGTAAACCTTTGAATTTGTTCCGACTATGACATTTAAACACATTTGCTTTATTGACTCCCCACCCACCCCCACCCAATATTTCACTTAATACTTTGGGCTGTTGGGGGAAAAAATGCGATATTTATACAGCACATAAAATCATCTCCTTTTACTCAAAATGTAAATTAAACATGCTAAAGCAGATCTCCATCAATTTAGGGCATCAGAAAGTTCTCTGGAACCCCCCCCCCCGGAAAACCTAATTGAAAGTCTTCCAGTAAACATACACATCACTAAGAACATAGGACGTTGCCTTATACTGACTTGGATCATTAAGTCTGTCTAGCTCAGTATTGTCTATATCAGGGATGGGGAGCCTGCAGTCCTCCAGATGTTTTTGGAACAACAACTCTTATCACCCCTGACCAATGGCTCTGCTGGCTGGGGCTTATACACTTCCAACAACTTCAGGAGGGCCTAAGGTTCCCTCCCCCAGATTGCATTGTTCCAGAGGTTGTTTCCCCCCTGCCCTACCTGTAAATGCCAGGGATTGAACCTGTGACATTTGGGCATGCAAAAACGTGTGCTGTGCCCTACGTGGTCCAGGAGAGCTTACGCCACAATAAATCAATGTGAGATGTGACAGTACTGTGTTTGCTGCAGCAGGCTTAAGGCAGCTACCCCGTTTGAAGCCGTTTATCTTCAGTTCACAAGCAAAAGGTACAGTAAACAGACATTGGACATCTTTCCGTATAAAATCAGTTTTGGTGAGGAAGGCAGACCTTAACATATCAGGCCAGGGTGTCTATTAACCAAGTACATGCTAAGGATATGTTGCATATAATAAGGAGGAATCACTTGGCTAAGGGATTTGCCCAGGTGGTTACTGCCGCCCTCAGCATGTGTTGGATTCTTTTTACAGGTAATTAAAAGAATTTCCTGGCTGGATCAGATCAAAACCTAGTCCAAAGCCATCTGCCTTTAGGAAATACACAAGCACAGCAATCTGTTGATAACTAGCCATTCTCCTCCTACCCCCCGAGTGTCTGGTAATTGGGTATCTATTGTCTCTGTACATGGAGGTCTCATTTTTAGCTATTGTGAGGAAATACCCAATGAATAGCCCCCTTATCCTTTTATCAAATTCTATTTTCTTCTGTAATGCTGTTCTCTATTTATAAGCCTGTATAAAAATTGCTTATGGTCACACATCAAGCTGTTCTTCAACTCCTTGTATGTTACATGACACAGAAATAAAGAAACGCAACAATTTTGGGTGTGTGAGTGTGTTTATGGGCAACATTATCTAGGAAAACAGTTTCCAGTATTTTAAGGAACACGGGGAGAGAAGGGACAGCATAGTGGGGATTCAAAGCAGCTCATTTATATGTGCATCTGAGAATTTTGGAACTTTATAGCCGTGATGCGCAGGAATTTTACTTATATACAGGTAAATATACATTAATTTGTGGTTGCTTGTTGCTGTAGGTTGCTGTCATATGAGAAGGTAAGAAACGATACTTGTCTAAATTAGGTGGGAGTGGTAAACCCAACACAAGGGGAAGGTGGAGGGGTTCACACATAGCACAATTACAAATTGCAACTAGATGTCCCTTGTTTTGCACTCCTGGTGTGTATGTTGGTTATTTTTGTTATACTGGAAGATGGTGCCTAGTTAACCTGGACTGATTAGCTTGCAGGCATGTTTACAAGACAGTCACTTTATTAGTTATGCTAAATTAGCATGTATAGATTGAAAGTAGTAAAAAGCAAGATCAAACTTGGTTGGTTTTGTTATTCCCTAAAGGAATACCATTGGCAAGTCATGTATTTTGCATTTCTTAAAAATGAATTTTTCTGTTTTCAAGATTTCAGCATCATACTTTTTTAAAAGTAGGGGTAGAGAAATTTGACAGCTTATTACCTTAAAAATAATGGGGGCTTTAAGATGTTGATATACTTCATTCCCTTTTCCAGTAAGCTACATTCTGAACCGTTTTTGCACATTGTGAAAAGGGCAAATGTTGCGCTTTCCAGCTGGGCTACATTTGATAAAAACATTTACAGTGGTGCCTCGCAAGACGAAATTAATTCGTTCCGTGAGGCTCTTCGTACAGCGGTTTTTTTGTCTTGCGAAGCAAGCCCATTGACAGCTTAACGGATTAGCGCTATTAGCGGCTTTTGGCAATCAGCTGTTAAGCGGCTGATAAGCGGCTTAGCGCTTAGGAAAAGGGGGGGGGAGGGAAAAAAACCCGAAGGAACTCGAAAGACTTTTTCGTCTTGCGAAGCAAGCCCATAGGGAAATTCGTTTTGCGAAGCGCCTCCAAAACGGAAAACCCTTTCGTCTAGCGGGTTTTCCGTCTTGCGAGGCGTTCGTCTTGCGGGGCACCACTGTAAGGATGTTGTGTCTAATTGCTTTCAAATGTATTATACACAAGATGTGGATTGGTTTCTAGTAGCATTTCTAAATAAAGGTGCGGAAACATACCCCACGAGAGAGAGAAAAGGATTCTTCCAAAACTCACGATGCTGTTACTGACTTTACTGAACCACAAATTAGTGTCACAATTCTTGTACCAGGCAGCTGTTGACATGTTAGACCAGCTTTCAAATTCCCCTTCTCAACCTTCACAGGACATCAGTGTTCTAAATATTGCACAAGTTAATCATGTAAACTGTTCACCTTGCAGAATTTTATGTACTGGAACATAATTTGTGCCAAGGAAGAGTAGAGAGAACCTTCCGACCATATTTGAAGCAAATGCTCTCGGCTTCTGGTAAGATGAAATGAGCAGTCTACAGCCTTGCTTGGTAACTTTAATTTTTAGAAGTAAAATGTGTAGAAACACTGAATAATATAATTAAAATTACCCCTCCTTGCTTTGAGACTGCCCCTTATGAACATTTGAAGGCTGTTAATGCATACATAGGAAATACATTTTTTTATTAAAAAAATGGCAGTTTACTAATTAATCACTTTGAGGGGTTTGTCTGAAAGAAAAGGCATTTTGCTTTCCAAAAATTCTATTATTTCTGGTGCAAATCTTTGAGGCAAGGAAATCGTCTTTTGGCACTCCAAGGACAATATTTTAATACTGGCACAAGCTAAAAAAAAAAAAAAAACACCAAAGGACAAATACGAGACAGTCACTTGGCCGATAATAGTAAACAACCCTGCTTCAGGCAATATTACAAAAAGCTGCTCCAAAACAAGTTTTTTAAAAAACGAATTTATGTTTTTACTGAACTTTAAAAGGAGAAAGAATTCAAATGTCCTCTAGAAAAGCAGCAATTGTTGGAATGAACAATTTGGAGTTCAATCATCAATAAGCATGGGATTCCTCGTGACTTAAAACGTGGATGCGCGAGGCTGGACTAGTGGCACTTCGGATCACCTCCATCCATCTAAGCGATACAAAAACAAAAACGAATACTTAATACAGTGCATTTCCCCTTAAGATTTGGTTGTGTGCCTTTTAACACATAAAATACAGTGGTACCTCAGGTTAAGTACTTAATTTGTTCCAGAGGTCTGTTCTTAACCTGAAACTGTTCTTAACCTGAAGCACCACTTTAGCTAATGGGGCCTCCTGCTGCCGCTGCGCAATTTCTGTTCTCATCCTGAAGCAAAGTTCTTAACCCGAGGTACTATTTCTGGTTTAGCGGAGTCTATAACCTGAACCATATGTATCCCGAGGTACCACTGTATTGTACAACACGCACACACCTCAAGTATTTTAATCCGGTGGGATACAGTCATACCTCGGGTTACAGACGCTTCAGGTTGCATTTTTTCAGGTTAAGGACTGCCGAAATCTGGAAGTACCGAATGGGTTACTTCCAGGTTTTGGCGGTCGCGCATGTGCAGAAGCGCCGAATCACAACGTGCGCAGACGCAGGTTGTGAACTCTGCGGGTTGCGAACGTGTATCCCGCACAGATCACGTTCGCAACCCTAGCGTCCACTGTATTTGTGTGCTCATTCATAGATGCCTCTATTTATAGCACTGAGTGGGGACTTACATACATACATTTAATACCATAGACCACTGGTTCTCTTAACTTTTTTCCTCTGGCCCACACTGATCAAGCCACTCTGTATTTTTCATTGAAGGGGAAACACAAAGAAACGACTCCAAGCAGTGCCTGATTTATAACACAAGACAACAACTACTTTATAATAGTAGTTGTGTGTTTACGTTATAGCTCATGGGACATCCATAAGGTGTAAAACAAGGCAGCTGAATGAATAATTCTGCCTTGCAGTAAAGAATTAAAAAGCAATGACATTTCAGCTCACGGAAAACTGACATACCTTTCAAACGTGTATTCGCTCTCCGCCCTGAAATAGTACACATGGGATTTGAAGTGTAGCTTAAAGACATAGTCTTTATGAATGTTCTCAGATTCGGAAGGAATGGTAAGAGAGTAACCCAGCAGAGGGAGGCTAGCTAAAGGATGATTGTCCTAAAAACAAAAGAGAAGTCGTTCACCAAATGGACCATCCCCCCAGAAGTCACTTCCCTTTATCCAGAATACTGTGTCCCCACAGTTTTCACTGACTCTTGGGACCTAAACAGAAAATGCCTCTCATATATGGCCCTGGTACATGAGGCATCTGGGTGCAAATCCAAAAGCTATAGTCTTCCTCATCAGATTGGCACTATTTGAAGTGAGTCACTCAAAGGCCCTTCAAAGCTCCGGCCAGCAGGTGGGGGTTTTTTTGGTGAGTGGTGTGTGACTGTCCCTTTCTTCTGGCTCCTCTGATCCCCTAGATCAGTGATGGCCAAACTTGGCCCTCCAGCTGTTTTGGGACTACAACTCCCATCATCCCTAGCTAACAGGACCAGTGGTCAGGGATGATGGGAACTGTAGTCCCAAAACTGCTGGAGGGCCAAGTTTTGCCATCACTGCCCTAGATGGATGCTGTGAAGTGAGTCCACGTGGAAACGTGTCTCATGGGGTGTGGGAACTATTCACAAGAAGGCTGCATCCCTCTCCCTCTACTCCAAGTCAATTTCTTACCTCACCCTTCACCTAAGGCACAGTGTGTGCATATGACAGCAATTTAAAAGTCAGTGTTAAAAAATAGAGCACATACCCAGGTGGGAATCTGTCGGTGCTCTTGCTGAATGGGGCAAATGGACACAAAAGCCTTGCCTATCTCCACCCACAGTGGCCAGTCCACTATGAGTGTGCTCATTCCCTTGATTTTCTATATACATCTGTCTGCACCAATTTCAAGTCATTTTTCTTCTCAGCAAAAATATACAAAAAAAAAAGGGGTTTTGTGTGGTTGTTTCATGCAAATAAGCAATGTTTGTATTGCAGAACTTTGACCTCTTAAAGCAGTAACTACACCATGGAATAATAAGCGCACATTCCCAAGATAAACACTGAAGTGGTTTTTAAATAACTGCAGCACCTTTCAAGTGCCTTTGGAATAAGCAGTGATGCTGAACGCTAATGTTTTCTTTCCCAAGTGCTCAAAGTAATGGGGAAGTGGCCTCAAATTAACTTGGTGTTCTTTTTTATCCCCCTCCGCCCCATCCTAGTGAACAAATGTTGAATTGACCTTTTTGCAGAGGACAGTGGATGGGCCATCTGTTACAGAATAGTTCTGTCTTATTTTGCTCCCATGTGCCCCTGACCTCACATTTCTAGGGAAAGTGTATTGAGTCAAAGCCTCTACTGATATGGTAGCGGCTTCCAAGCTGATCACAGTCAGAGTCTAGCACAATACATTTTGCACCGGAGGCTGACAAGATGACAGTTCCCCATTCCAGACTGGACTGGCAGTGAAACTTTCTTTTGGCATTGGTGATAGGATGATATCCACCACCACACCTGAGGCAGCAGGCCAGATTAGGGGACCAGAGACTGCTCCTGACATCTTCTGCCTAAAGCAGTTGCCTCATTAATATTAGGGTTGAGCCTGATCCTAGTTAAGCATTTCCAACTTTTCTCTCCATACACGGAAGAACTCTGTATCCATGAAGTTCACAAAAGCTTCAGTTATCTCTGCAAATGCATCCTTTGCGACAATCAACAGTGCATAGCAAGGATCTTTTTTTGTAATGTGTGAACAGTTAACAGTTATATTCATCTCTGACTTCCAAGCATCAGTTCCCTACCTGGTGGGATTTGTAGAAAAACATGCAGAAATTGGTGAATACCACCCAGAGCTTCTGCCAGCCATTGCTGTTTTTGAACTTTCTCAAAAGGTTTCCAGAGAGTTGGTTCTGAAAATGAAGAGAGATAGTGCAGCAAAC